AGATGAGTTGTAATAGTATAAGATAGTAGCTGTTTTAAGATAAATAACCATGTAACACAAAAAAAGGTCTCAGGAAAACTACTATAGTTATGGTGACAGTGACGCAACATTTCATTTTGTAGTGGCTATACAATTTTTGTAATGTCATTGTACAATTTGGAATATAGATTATTATTATTATTGTTATAATGATTTGATGTCGGAATCTTGGCATGAAGTATCATATACGAAGCAGAAGCGGTGAATGCCAAATACGAATGCTTCTTCAATGTGTTATTTTATTACTTTGACAAAGGACTAAACTGCATCAAAAAAAGATTGATAGTTGGATTACACCTGAGATTAAACAACAGTCACATTTGATGTCGGAATCTTGGCATGAAGTATCATATACGAAGCAGAAGGGGTGAATGCCAAATACGAATGCTTCTTCAATGTGTTATTTTATTACTTTGACAAAGGACTAAACTGCATCAAAAAAAGATTGATAGTTGGATTACACCTGAGATTAAACAACAGTCACAAAATTTACGAGATTTATATTTTCTTTACAAGTAGACTGGATGCGAGGACGTATACAAAAGGTACAAAGATGAAAGAAAAGCATATAGAAAATACACTGACGATACTAGAAAAGCATACAATAATAATATAATCACAAACTCACAGAATAAGACAGAAAGTGCTTGGTCTTTGGTTAACAGAATGAGCGGGAAAACGAGAACTGTAACAACAATAGAGTTAAATAATCACTCCAGTCCACAAGAAACAGCTAACGCATTTGCTGACAATTTCTCTAATACAAGGCATAACACTGACATGAATAATCAACTAAGAATATTAAATTGAATAATTTACGTACGAAAGCCTTGTTCTCAAACCTACAACTCCACATGAAGTATATGATGTACCTAATTAGACAGCTACCAGCAAAATATTCAATGGATGAGATCCCTACAAATGTAGTGAAAAAAGTTGCTGACATTATCTGTCACCCTATATCTGTTATCATAAATGAGTGATTTTTAAATGGCACCTTCCCAATAAACTTAAACTGTCTAAAATTATTCCAGTATTCAAGAAAGTATTGAAAGACGATATGTCAAACTACAGACCGGTTGCACTACTATCTATTTTATCCAAAATATTTGAAAGAATAATCTACAATAGACTATTATCCTTTTTTATTGAAAATAATATCTTCGTCATAAACCAATATGGCTTCTTGCCAAAAAGATCAATAAAAGACGCCATTAGAGATTACCTAAATACATTAATTACTCGACTAGATACTGGTGAAAAAGTAACCGGGGTGTACTTTGACCTATCCAAAGCCTTTGATTCAATAACTCATGGGATACTTCTCTTAAAACTAGAACATTATGGAATCAGAGGAATCGCCAATGACCTAATGAGATCATATTTAAACAATCATCCTCAAGTAGTCAGTATTACAGCTGAAAATGGTGATTTGTTTTATTCGAAAGAAGCGAAAATAAATATGGGGGTTCCACAGGGGTTAATCCTTGGACCGATTTTATTTTTAGTGTACCTAAACGATCTATCCAAATCTATTAACTTAAGTTCGTTATTCACGTACGCTGATGATATATCGGGTATAGTGGATGACAAAAGCATAGAGCAGTTGTCTCAAAAATCAACAAAGCTTGTAAATAATGTAGCTCAATGGTGTAATGACAACTTACTACATTTGAATACTTCAGTAATGACCCTTCCAAATCACTTTATGTGAAATTAAACGGAAAAACCATAGTTCAAACAAACGCTGCACAGTTTCTAGGTGTGAAAATAGACCATTCATTGAAGGAGTTTATGTTCGATATTTCAAGATGTTCATAGACTTCTTGCATTTCACCATTAGATTATTGACGTGTTCTTCCCAATACAGCTTTCTGTCGAAAGTTAGCCCAAAAACTTAACAGTATCATTGATCTGTATTGGGGTGTTTCTCAATAGTAGGTGAGGGTGGTTATGAGCAGTTCGTAGCCTACAAAAATGAATGACGGTGGTTTTTGATGCTGAGAAGCGGAAACCAATACTTTCAGATTTTGTAACTAGGCTGTTTATTGCTGCTTGTAGTTTAATCTCGATGTTCAACATATCTTTGTGAGGTCGTCTATGTATAAACATTTTCTAATGTCTGGATCTATTGTGCCTATAAGACGGTTTATGGCTATCAGGAATAGCGTTGCGCTGATGGTGGAACCCTGAGGTATACCGTTCTCGAGAGTATGCGACTAAGAGAAGTGTTTGCCGAGCCGGAGTTTGAATGTTCGGTTTTCTAGGAACTTGGAAATGAATTTGAGCATATTATCTCGTATACCCCATTCATGTAAAGTGTTGAGTATTCCTCGTCTCCATGTTGTGTCATAAGCTTTTTTCTAAGTCAAAGCAAACAGATACCAAATGTTTTCTTTCGGCAAAGGATTGTTGAATAGCCGTGTCTATATAGGCCAATTGATCTAAAGTGGATCTAAACTTTCGGAAACCCATCTGGTAATCCGAAGATGCTTAAGCATGTCGTAGTGGATGTTGTCTGAACCAGTTGATGGAGAATTAACCTTTTTAAGAGCGTTTTGCAGTTCTGGCAATGTAAAAGGTACGTTGTATACCAATAACGAGTCTTCAACTATTTCCAATATATTTTTTTCAGCCTTAGTTTTTTTAGCTACGAATTCAAGATTATAGCTATCCGAACTGCTTGTCTCTTGAAATTATGTAGTTGATATATTACAAATGTCTTCATAGTTTGTAATTTCTGTATTGTTGATTAGCAGTATAGGGGATGTAGCTTTTAAATGCTTTCCTTGAATACTTCTGATTTTGTGCCAGACTTCCGATGGTGGTGTTTCTTTCGATATGTGTGAGACGTATTCCTGCCATGATGATTTTTTACTTTTTAAAATTATGCGACGGGCTTCTGCTCTTCTTTTCTTGAATTCAATTAAGTTGTCAGTAGAGAAGTTGCGGTTGTATTCTCTTAAGGCCTTATTTTTTCTTTCATTGCTTTTCCAGTCTTATCGTTCCACCATGGCACTTGCACATTTTTGATGTTACCACTTTTTTTGGGAATACTGCCGTTCGCTGCACTAACTATGGCAAATGTTATAGATTGCAAGGAGTCGTGTATCTTATCCTTTAAAAGGAGTTCACCAATATTATTTTTATAGGTATCCGAATTGGCTTTCTTCATGTTCCAGGTTAGATGGAATGTTCGTTCTGGATATTTTGAAGAATAAGTGATATTTATTGGCACATGGTCGGAGTACAGATGGTCAGGCATAGTTCTCCATTCCAAGGATGATGCCAGACTTGGCGAGCAGATGGACAGATCGATAGCATACTGAAGCAGTTAGACCTGGAGTTAACGTAAGTTCCATCTCCTGTATTTAAAATAATCACATTTGATTCATCGCAGATTCTTTTGATTATACGACCTCGAACATCAAGTTGTTGTGATCCCCATAGAGGGTTGTGTGCATTAAAGTCGCCCACTATGATATATGGAGTAGGCAGTTGAGTAATTATTATGTGATTAATCTGCTCTTCATTCCGATTGATATCTGGTAAGTATATATTACATATTGTTATTTTAAATGGAAATAACGATTGTGCTGCTACCGCCTGTAGTGGGGTTTGAATGTGTACCTCAGTTGCATGTAATTCACTTTTTATGAAAATTGCCACACCTCCTTTAGATCAGTTTGTCGGGATTATGTCTTTCCTGGAACAGTTGAAGCCTCGCAGGTTGAAGTTGGTTTCAGGAGAAAAATGAGTTTCCTGGATACATATGCAAAAGGGTGCCACTTCTGAGACTATCAATTTTAGTTCAGGGTAGTGTGCACAGCATCCGTTCATGTTCCATTGTATTAGTGAAGACTGATGTACATCCCGGTACAATCAGCCGATATCACCCTGTACAATGAACATTCACACCACCCTGTACACTCAATCCAAAGTGACGCCAGCATGTGCGCATGTGCAGACAGACATTCTGGTGCTATCAACTGGCGGATTTAGAGGGGGGCGCGCGTCCCCCCTAGACGTCTGATATTTGCTTTTGCAATTCTATCACCATTGTGTTACTTTCTGTTACATCATGGTGACAGAGCCATACTAAGGGCGTTTGTCCACCGCCGCCGTCACCGGACCGTCACCTAGAACGAGATTATTTCGGGCCGAGTTTAATATGACGTAACGGCGATCGTTTGTCCACCGCGATCGATTTCGCTGGTTTAGTTTGTTCCACCTGCCATGCGTGGTAGTCGCGTTTTCGAAGAAATAAAGTGATAGCTAGGTTAAACCGGCGACAACTTCTTCTACTGCTTTTGTACCTTCGAAGGCGCAGGCGATGCAAAGAATTTTGGGTTCATCCGCTAATACGTGAACGATACATCACAGGGGCGTTTTATGTACACCACGCCAAGTTGCGGCAGCATGACAAGAAATTTTTTAACTACTATAGGATGTCCACGACTACGTTCGATTATATCCTATATCATATTAAGGATAGCATCACACTCCAAAACACGAACTACAGGACATGCATACCACCAACTGAAATGTTAGCTGTAACGTTGAGGTACGTAGTAAAATACTACTCCATCACCGCAACTAGAAGACGCATGTAGTGTTGGGAAGGTCTGTACAGTTGGTAATGTCAGTCAGCGTCACTAAATGCGTCTTCTACTTGCGGCGATGTGTAGGAAGTCATACTTTTTATATTTTAATACTTATATTTATTTGAATAATAGTATCAACTTATGAATGACAGGTAGTCACCTTATATGATAGTATGAGTACCAGGGTCAAATTTTATAAAGCAACAAGTTACAATTCTACAGGCAAATTGACATTAATGACGCAGTCTCGAACAATCACGAATGCGGATTCCGTCAATGTTGCTAGTAATTTACCTGTAGCCTGTAACTTGTAGTTTTATAAAATAGGGCCCAGGTAGTTAGATTAAACTTACACACCTAATTTTTAGAAAAATCTTGGGAAAATAATCCACTAATAGATTTTATTTGTTGCTGAGGTGTGAACTGCTGGGTTTCATGCTGGGGTGAAATCAGTTGGTTTCCTTGCTGAGGTGCATATTGCTGAGTTTCATGCTGGGGTGAAATCAGTTGGTTTCCTTGCTGAGGTGCATACTGCTGGGTTTCATGCTTCAGTTGGTGGAAGTTACCATGATCGCTAGGTGTAGCGAAACGACTGCGGTTTTTAAATCTGCGAAGCAATTGCATAACTTCGATTCTAAAGTCAAACCTATCCTCGTCGTTCAATTGTTTGACGGATGGAAGGAGAGATATCATAAATGCACGGTCATCGTCAATTAATTCAGATTCCGATTCAGCGGAATTTGCCTGTATAGCTTTTAATATTTCTGCATAGACCGCATTTAGCCTTTTCGTTCCCCTTCGATTCATGGTAGATGTGGATGTGGATGTGGATGGGGAAGGTATTGATTGGTCTAGGTTACTATGTGATGTTTGTTGGCTTTCGGGAAGACTTTCAGAATCATTTTGAGTTGGTATGCTTGAATCAGTTTCGTCGGGTGTTGCAGTCTTGAGTAGAAATTGTAGGTTATCACTGTAAATGTACTTTTTTGCGGCTTGTCCTGACTTAGTCTTAAGGGACTTTATAAATATGTCTCGAATATTACTCCACTTGATCATGACAGCACTTGCTGAAACAATAAAATTTAACAATTAACTTTTATTACAGATACCTCGCAAGTGGAAATACCTTCACCGATATGTCATATACCTTCCAACTGGGTATCAAGACTATAAGCAGAATAGTGACACAAGTGTGTCACCAAATATGGACTATTTTAAGTGGTGAACACTTGGCTGCGCCTACTACTGAGCGATGGTTAGTAATAGCGGAAGGATTTAAACGAAGAGCTAATTTCCCAAACTGCATCGGTTGTGTCGATGGAAAACACATACGGATTGAAAAATTTCCGAAATCTGGCACTATGAACTTTAATTATAAGGGATATTTCTCAATTGTACTTCTGGCAGTAGTTGATTCAGATTACAGATTCGTATATGTTGATATCGGTTCATACGGTAAAGACTGCGACTCCGCAATTTTTCAACGTACAAACTTCTATCAACTACTCACTGAAGTCAGGTTGAGTATACCTCCACCTGTTCCACTGCACTCATCTCAAAATAACAGAATGCCACATGTTATACTAGGCGATGAAGCTTTCCAGCTCACTGAACATTTATTACGTCCTTTTGGCGGTAACCATTTAGATGTGAAAAAACGTATTTATAACTATAGACATTGTCGTGCACAAAGATACGTTGAATGTGTATTTGGCATTATGGCCAATAAATGGCGAATATTTCATCGCCCTCTAAATGTAAACAAAAAACTTAGCAAAAGTATAGTTAAGGCATGCGTCGTTTTGCATAATATTGTACGTGAAAAAGATGGCTACAGAGGTGAGGATATGTCCATGTCTTTTATGCACGATGGGCTGTCTGATCTACCAAGGGAAGGAAGTGTACTGCATGGTGGGCGTACTGCTAATGACATAAAAAATAATTTTGCTGAATACTTTGTAAGCCCAGAAGGCTCCTTACCTTGGCAGATGAATAAAATCTAAACTTGTAATTACTTAATTAAAAACATAAATAATAAACTATCATATACTTACTAATTTCGTCTTTGTTTTTCTGGTCCATATCCTCAAAGTTCGGCTCTAAAAAGGCACAAACATCGCGCCATGCATTTCTACGCAAAACTTTATCTTTGGACACTTCCTTGGTTTTATCCCACAAACATTCTTTACTTTCTATTAATGAATAAATATCGTATTTAAATTTTTTCGCCATTTTTATTACAATGTTATACTAATTAATGATAATTGATTACAAACAAAATAATAACTGAGCTCGTGTACGATGCGACGGCGACGGCAGTGTGTGGACAAGTTCATACGTGTTTTGTATTGCCGGCACATCGGCCCGTCAAAATCTCGGGCGACGATCTAGCGGTCACGCCGATCTACTCGCAATTTCGGCGGCCGGGATGACGGCGCTCGGGTGACGGATGTGCGGTGGACACGCGGCTTTAGTAATGTAATGTAAATGTATGTACCGCTACTTCGGCGCCGTCATCTAGTTCTCGGTGACGTGACGGTGACGGCGGCGGTGGACAAACGCCGTAACTATAAATTATAGCTATAGGAACTGAGCATTATGATTTTTTGGTATCCTTTGGTATACCAAATGCTGTCCCTCGTTGACATCACTTGTTTACAGCACAACTCTTACGATTTATACGTACCTATATACGAGTATTGTGACAAATCTAAGTCTGGGTAATATATTAACTATACAGATTGCACTTAAAAAGTGTTCTGTTTGTTGCTCAATATTAATTTGAAAAGTGTGTAAAATTTGACTGATTTTGTTCGGGGTTGGTGTTACAGCGGAGCACTCACTATGTTAGATGAACGCCTAAATTGGAAATAAATACTTATGAGATTTGTTTAGCGATGCGCCTGTGGCCTGTCTAGAAACTGCGTCGATCGATGCTCAAAATCAATACCACAGGTCCCGCAGCTCTTCTCGCGTAAGTGTCTATTTATGTTGCTATATTGAATTCGTTTAAATCACTGAGCTGCTGCACTATACGTGAATATCTACAGCCCTGTATTCCTGTACTTGTTTAGTAGAAACATACATTATCAAAATAATTACGATTTAATAGAAACAGTTTTTTCCAAGGATTTCCAACATTTCTACATGCGATCAACACAGGTTCGAAAACTGAGAAAACAACTACGCCGTAAATCTTAGTTCGTCAACGAAAGTCTGAAAGATAACTGTAACACGTATATTGAATTTCAAAAACCCCAACCCCCATTGAGCGGGGCCGTAGCAATTGCTCGTTCCGGACGTTGTTGTATCCAGCATACAACTCCTTCCCGTACAAGTGATTGTACCGATTGCCGCGTGGCGATACAAGTCCGCCAACGTGCCACTTTAGGTATATTTAATATCATTAACTTGCAAAAAGAAGGTGGTAGACAAGGACCAGTCGACCGACGCGGTACCACCCTATAGCTTTTCCCAGGATGTCTTATAAATGTCCGCATGTTTCCACACCTAAGCTATGCAGTCGGTTATCTTCCAAAACAAAGAAATTAATGATGATGGATCCCTCGAGTACTAAGAATTCCGGATGTAAGCTCACGCTACTCTCAGAATATCCGGGTGGAGGGTGGACTCGAGGAAACAACATCGAAGATAAAGTTTGTTTCACGAACATCTGCGGGAATAACAGCAACATTGATGCTGTTCATCACTACTTGCAATCCAATCGTTCCGCCATGCTTTTCTTTTCGGAGACAAAAATCTCAGAGTCGGCACCGATTAACCATCTTAGCTTATCAAATTACGAGGTGCACTCTAATCTGAGAAAGAACGGGGGAGCTGTGGTCTTTGTCCGCAGCAGTCTTTCTGCTGCAGAGATGTTTCTCTGGAATCAGACCGGAAGGACATTCTGAAGATTAATCACTCCGCTTTGGAGGAAATTCTCCTCGGTGACTTCAATGACCATAATTTGCTTTGGTTGGGCTCAAATAAGACCGATGCAACAGATCGTGCAGTTAAAGCGTTCGCTCTTACTCAAGGGCTGACCAAGCTGGTGACGGGCCTTACTTTTTTTGCCCCACGTCTCGTCACATGCCAGTATCCTGCTGGATCTCTTTCTGACCACGCATCCTGTCCCTTACAGCTCTGCTGTCCTGTCTCCCCTGTGTTGTGGAGGTGAGGCTTCGGTCAGAACCCGCTGTTTCAGCAGAAACTCTCACAGGCCTCAAAATTTATCATTACGGACATGCCGACTGGGAGGGGCTCAGAGACTTCTTCTCTACCTTTTCTTGGAGAAATGTCTGTTTCACTGACGCGGATGCGTCGGCTGTCTGTTCTTCGACAACCGAAATTATCCACGTCGGAATGGAGGAATACATGCCTCATACTGCTGATATAATAGCTTGATTGTGTCGGTATTTGCATCATCTACCTGATTTGTTTAATGGGCAGTTCAGAGTCTTAATCTTTAAGCTTATCACATACTAGTAGACCCCGTTGCGCAATTTGCCTATAGGCAGCCTGGAGACGGTCTACAGACATCCTTCTTTGTCTTGTCTAGCGTCCATACGATAATGTGAATTTTTTGGTCTCATGTTCGTTTTCGCAATCAAAGATATTGTTTTGTCTGGAATGGACTGGGATATGTCTCGGGTTCCCTCAGACTGTTTTATTTATTTTTTGTCAGTTAACAGAGCAATGAAGTTTTTTATGTTTGAATCTTTAATATTATTACACTAGTTAATTATAAATACCACGTACTTATTTTGTTCTCATATAATAAAATATTGGCTTTCTGAGGTTTTCTGAGCAATTTACATGTTTTTTTTTCAAGCTGGCTTTGACCAGATAGAGCACAATGGATTTAAGGAGCAATAATAGGATAAATTCTAGAACTTCCACTGAGGTAAAAAAATAACCTTCCCCAAATATCGTTTGCACCCCCCCCCCTTAGACGAAATCCTGAATCCGCCCTTGGGTGCTACGATTTCGTTGCATTTCGCCCGGCTACCCAGTTGGTGAAATCGTGAACCAGGAAGAAAAAAAACTCACGCTTGAACCTCTGGACGCAACACGTCGGCACCCGGATCTACCAATCGATCGCGCGGTCGACCAGAGGTGGAAAATACATTACTAACCTGTTGAATGTATCGCTTATACATTATAAGTTTGTATCCAGTCCAAACCCAATAAACGTTGTTTCAAGAAAACAAAGTGTTATATGCGACATGACTAGCGTACAAAACATTATGGGTCTTTTCGAGCGGATTTTGGACTAGAACTGTGGATACGGAACTTAAAGACTCGTGAATGTGTGACCGCGAGGAGCCAGAACACAAACGCAACCAGGAAAACCCAAGGAAAACTCCAGGACAACAAGACACCCTCCAGCAGTCAAGGGCAGTAAGTCTTTCCTATTTTCCATTTTTCCTACCATTCTCCTAAAAAAGAATAGACGCACATTCGGCGTTGGTTCACCTCGAGAGGAATCGGGGGGAATTTCTTCAATCGTATCAACAATCAATTATCGCTAATGCAATCAGTAAATCAATAAAATGACTGAAGACGTACCATTGTCTAGTCTCAGACATTTCATCCGCGAGCGGAGACAGATCAAAGCGGCGTTAACAAGATTCATAACGTACGTAGAAGGAAATGGAAACGTTGAAAAATTACTAGATCAGTTCAACAAAGTTCAGGCGTCTTTGGAGGTTCTAGATGAGTCCAAAATAGAGACAGATGAACGTGAAAACTTTGAAGATAGGTTTTTCAAGGCAATTTCCAGTGCTAAACAATTGATAGGACAATCAAAGACTTTGGTGGCACCTTGCGCGGACAGTGACCAGACGAAAGTTCATTCTCACGCCAGTGGCAGCGGAAAGGGGTTTCCGAACATTGACCTAATCAAGTTTAGTGGCGATTACGATAAATGGCCGCAGTTTCGAGACTTATATCTCACACTTGTACACAACGATGGTTCAATCGATGAGGTGCGAAAATTCTATACAGGTTACAAGTGACAATTATCAATCAGTATGGGAACTGGTGCAAGAAAGGTATGAGAACAAGCAATTAATAATCAAAAAGCACGTACGGTGTTTCTTCGAGATACCTATAGTATCAAAAGATAGGTACACGTTGCGGAATCTAATAGACGATTTTAACAAGAGTTACCGCGCGTTACACTTGAATGGCGAAAATATAAATTCTTGGGATACACTTTTGATATACATGATAACAAGCAAGATTGATTCGAGATCGCTCACGTTATGGGAAGAATCACTTAACCGCAGAAAGGTTTCTAGACCAACATTTAATCAGTTGTTAGAATTCCTTACAGATCGTTGTAAGCTTCTCTAAACTTCGGAACACGCTGCAAAACAGGAAAAAGCTGCTAGCAATACGCCTAATAGCAAACAACAAAAATTTTTCAATCAGCACAATGCTGACAAGTCTGGCGAACGGCATTCATATGTTTCAACAAATTCCAGTAGCGGCTCGTACCAAGGAGATAGCAAAACTTAAAGTTTGCACAAACTGTTTACGCGAGAGACATGCGGCAACGCAGAGCGCATCCCAGGGATGTAGGGTGTGTAAGGCAAAGCACAACACGCTTTTACATACAGATAAACGTTCAGAATTGAATCCTGAATTCAATGAAAGTGAAAGTCATCAAACCACACCATCAGCAGCAGGAGTTGTTGTCAATCATTGCACACAATTTGAACCTCAGATCTTATTATCGACTGTTCAAATCAACATCAAAGATTCTAAGGGAAATTTGCATCAATGTCGCGCTCTTCTGGACAACGGGTCTCAGTCCAATTTCATCAGCGGATCATTAAAGAGAAAATTGGATTTACGTTGTTCAACAATCAATGTACCTGTGGTTAGTGTAGGAAATGCTAGCACTAACATTTCGTCTCTCACATCTACAATCATTAAGTCTTCTGGCGACAAATACGTGAAGTATCTAGATTTTTAGTTCTCAAAAAAATCACTGAATGGCTACCTACAGTGGCGTTCAGCCGAGATAAATTGAATATTCCGAACAACATTGAATTATCAGATCATAATTTCAATGTTCCGTCTGAAATTGATGTTCTACTCGGGGCAACGGTATTTTTGGAATTTTGAAATATGGTACAAGGCAATTAGGTCCAAATTAGTCAATGCTCCAAAACACGGTATTCGGATGGACGGTTTCAGGAATGTTGAATGAAAGTCATCAGGCATATCAAAATACCGTTTCGTGTCATGCGGTTATAACATCAGGTGATGATCAGTTGCTACAAGATCAACTGGAAAGGTTTTGGCAAATTGAAGAATGCCCTCTTACGAAATGTTTCACGCCAGAAGAAGTCGAGTGTGAACGTATTTTCACAACTATAATTACACGCGATGAATCAGGCAATTTCGTCGTAGAGTTACCATTACGCGAAAACGTTTGCGATCTTAGTGACACACTTGACATGGCAGTCAAGCGGCTCTATACAGTAGAAAGGAAATTTCGAAAGAATC